ATATATAATGTAATATAATAACTTATATAATGATTTAATAATCAGGTTTGCTCCTCAGAAACATCACAAGAAGAAGAATATTATATTATATTACATATACATTGTGATGTCATGAGAGGGAGTGTCATCAATGGGAGATACATCCCCTCTCAGTGGTTGCAGCAGAGACTACAACCCATCATGGCATCTGGTTAACTGACTAAAATTCCCATAGTTAGCAGGGCGGCCAGGGCCAAGGCTGCTGCCCAGCTGAAAGAGAGGGGGCCGATTACCCTGGAGGAGCTGGTGTGGGGAACAAAGGAGAAAACATTTGGAAAGAGAAGGAAGGACAGGAGCGGACGAAGAGAGAAAGAGTTATATATATATAATATGTATTATAAATATACATGTATACACATATTTATATACATATACATCATTTTAATTATTAAGTAATATATACATATTTATAATATGTATATATATATCTATAAATAATTTAAACATATAATTTGTGAATGGGTGAATTGTAAAGAAGATCTATTTAAACACATTATAATATCTAGAATATAAACTACATAATGATGATAGTACAGCAGGAGGCGCTGTGCACTTTTCACAGTGAGACGCTCCGCTTTTATTCTGAAGGACTCCCGCCGGAAGCCTTATTTGTTGTTGGCGGAACAGAGGCTAACTGAGCTAGCAGGAGCTAACGCAGCTAACACAGCTAACATGACGGAGTAGCTGATGGCTACTGACGGCAGTCTCAAGGTAATTATTTCAGTTTTATTACAAATAACAAATTATGTTGTTCGATGCTTCAGGTTCTGTGTTATTATTGTTGCTATTATTATTATTACGGCTGAAACTTGGTGCCTCCAACATGAAAAACACGGAACAGCCATTGCGCATGCTCAGTTGTGTGTTAGCTTAGCTACGGCTAGCTGCTAACTGCTATTATTATTATTATTATTATTATTATTATTATTATTAAGTCTTTGTAAAGCTTTGAGCTGACTGAGTTATGTTTGTACCAACAGAGAGACAAATGAGGAGTGTTTCCTCTGTTATGGTTCTTAAGTAGCATTAACATAGCATTGGCATTAAAGCTAAATTAGAGTTAGAGCGTAAATATTACTTTTTACTGTACTACATCTCAGAGGTACAAATAGTACTTTTTAATGTACTACATCTCAGAGGTACAAATAGTACTTTTTACTGTACTACATCTCAGAGGTACATATTGTACTTTTTACTGTACTACATCTCAGAGGTACAAATAGTACTTTTTACTGTACTACATCTCAGAGGTATATACAGTACTTTATACTGTACTACATCTCAGAGGTACATATAGTACCTTTTACTGTACTACATCTCAGAGGTACATGTAGTACTTTATACTGTACTACATCTCAGAGGTACATATTGTACTTTATACTGTACTACATCTCAGAGGTACATATAGAACTTTTTACTGTACTACATCTCAGAGGTATATATAGTACTTTTTACTGTACTACATCTCAGAGGTATATATTGTACTTTTTACTGTACTACATCTCAGAGGTACATGTAGTACTTTATACTGTAGTACATCTCAGAGGTACATATTGTACTTTATACTGTACTACATCTCAGAGGTACATATAGTACTTTATACTGTACTACATCTCAGAGGTACATATAGTACTTT